GGCGACTCCTCCCTGCGGAACTCTCCTGAATTCCATCCCAGCCTTTATCCAGGTATACCTTCCTCTCTTCCCCCCTTCCCTCTGGGGCCACAAGATCTCCCCAGAGCAACTCCCTTGCTCGCTGGGCCTGGGTTGTGAGTACAACCCGGTAGTAGGGAGTGCCTGTGTTTCAATAGACTGCCTGAGGAAAGGTAGGCCTTCTATCAGTGAAGTCCCTGCCCAACAAGGGAACCTGACCTGATAATAGAAGATCCAGTAGAGAGCATTTGAAGGAAGAGATGGGCAGACGCCAAGGCAAGAACTCCTCCAACAATCTAAAAAACAACATGAAAACACCAGATCCCAATGACCCTACAATAGAAGGACTTGAACCTCTTAATTCAGAAGAAGTGGGAAAAAATGCCATTATGAAAGCAATAGAGTCCCTTAAACAGGATATGAATAACTCCCTTAAAGAACGGGATGAGAAGTATAACAAAAAGATTGAAGAAATGAGTAAAGAATTGGATGAAAAATATAACAAAAAGATCGAAGAAATGAGTAAATCCATGAATGATACACTGGGAAATCAAGAAAAAACAATCAAACAGGTAATGGAAACAGTTCAAGAATTGAAAACTGAAATGGAGGCAATGAAGAAAACACAAAACGAGGGCCGGCTAGATATGGAAAATCTAGGTAAACGAACAGAGACTACAGAATCAAGCATAACCAATAGGATACAAGAGATGGAAGAACGAATCTCAGAGTCTGAAGATACCATAGAGAAAATAAATGCTCTGATCAAAGAAAACAGCAAATCCAACAAATTCTCATCACAAAACATTCACGAAATCTGGGACACAATAAAAAAACCAAATCTAAGAATATTAGGGATTGAAGAAGGAGAACTGCAGATCAAAGGACCAGAAAATATATTCAACAAAATTATAGAAGAAAACTTTCCTAATCTAAAGCATGATATTCCTATGAAGGTTCAAGAAGCATACAGAACACCGAATAGGCTTGATCAAAAAAAAACATCCCCTCGCCATATAATAATCAAAACACAAAACATACAGATTAAAGAAAGAATATTAAGAGCTGCAAAGGAAAAAGGGCAAGTAACTTATAAAGGTAAACCTATCAGACTCACACCGGACTTCTCTATGGAAACCATGAAAGCCAGAAGGTCCTGGATAGAGGTACTGCAGAAACTAAGAGACCATGGATGCAAGCCCAGACTAATATACCCAGCCAAACTATCATTCACTATCAATGGAGAAAACAAAATATTCCAGGATAAGAACAAATTTAAACAATTCGCAGCCACAAACCCAGCCTTACAGAGAGTAATAGAAGGAAAATTGCAACCAAAGGAGTCCAACATTGCCAGCAATGCTTACAATAACTCAGACATCTAGCGACCCTTCATGAGCTTAACTCAAAGAAGGGACACATACAAACTCTATTAATCAAACAAACAAAAAGTAATAATAACCGGAGTCAACAACCACTGGTCATTAATATCACTTAATATTAATGGACTCAATTCACCTATAAAAAGGTACAGACTAAGAGACTGGATACGAAAACAGGATCCAACATTCTACTGTTTACAAGAAACACACCTCAACCACAAAGACAGACATCTACTCAGAGTAAAGGGTTGGGAAAAGGTTTTTCAAGCAAACGGACCTAAGAAATAAGCAGGTATGGCCATTCTAATCTCCAACAAAATTGACTTCGAACTAAAATCAATCAGAAGAGATGGAGATGGACATTTTATACTCATAACAGGAACAATTCATCAGGAGGAAGTCTCAATCCGGAATATCTACACCCCTAATATAAAGCCTCCTACTTATGTAAAAGAAACACTTCTAGAAATCAAGGCAGTCATCAAACCACACACACTAACAGTAGGAGACTTCAACACTCCTATCTCACCAATGGACAGGTCAATCAGACAGAAACCTGACAGAGAAATAAGAGAAATATTGGAGGTATTGAATCAAATGGACTTCAAAGATATCTATAGAACATTCCACCCAAATAGGAAAGAATATACCTTCTTCTCTGCAGCTCATGGAACCTTCTTGAAAATTGACCACATACTGGGTAACAAAGCAAACTTCCACAGATACAAAAAGACCTATTTCACAAGAACTTTAAGTCTTTGAAGAAAGAAATTGAGGAGGATACCTGAAAATGGAAAAACCTTCCCTGCTCTTGAATTGGGAGGATCAACATAGTAAAAATGGCAATTCTACCAAAAGCAATCTATAGATTCAATGCAATTCCCATCAAAATCTCATCAAAATTCTTCACAGACCTTGAGAGAACAATAATCAAGTTTATATGGCAAAACAAAAAACCCAGGATAGCCAAAACAATCTTATACAATAAAGGAACTTCTGGAGGCATTGCCATCCCTGACTTCAAACTCTATTACAGAGCAACAGTATTGAAAACAGCTTGGTATTGGCATAACAACAGAGAAGTCGACCTATGGAATCGAATAGAAGACCCGGGTATTAACCCAAAAACTTATGAACACCTGATTTTTGACAAGGGAGCTAAAGCTATACAATGGAAGAAGGATAGCATCTTTAACAAATGATGCTGGCATAATTGGATCTCAACCTGTAGAAGAATGAAAATAGATCCATATCTATCACCATGCACAAAACTCAGGTCCAAATGGATTAAAGACATCAACATTAATCCGACCACTTTGAACCTGATAGAAGAGAACGTGGGAAGTAGTCTACAAGATATAGGCACAGGAGACCACTTCCTAAGCAGAACCCCAGGAGCGCAGACAATAAGAGAAACAATAAATAAATGGGACCTACTGAAACTGAGAAGCTTCTGTAAAGCAAAGGACACTGTCAGTAAGACAAAAAAGGCTACCTTCTGACTGGGAAAAGATCTTCACAAACCCTTCAACAGACAAAGGTCTGATCTCCAAAATATACAAAGAACTCATGAAACTAGACACTAAAACTCTAATTAACACAATTAAAAAATGGAGTACTGAACTGAACAGAGAATTCACAACAGATGAACTTCGAATGGCTAAAAAGCACTTAAGGTCATGCTCAACCTCCTTAGCAATCAGGGAAATGCAAATCAAAACAACTTTGAGATACCATCTTACACCTGTCAGAATAGCCAAACTCAAAAACACCAATGATAGCCTATGCTGGAGAGGATGTGGAATGAGGGGAACACTCATCCATTGTTGGTGGGAATGCAAACTTGTGCAGCCACTGTGAAAATCAGTGTGGCGGTTTCTCAGGAAACTGGGAGTCAACCTCCCTCAGGACCCAGCAATTCCACTCTTGGGAATATACCCTAGAGATTCCCTAACACACTACAAAAGCATTTGTTCTACTATGTTCATAGCAGCACTATTTGTAATAGCCAGAACCTGGAAACAGCCTAGGTGCCCCTCAATAGAAGAATGGTTAAAAAAGGTGTGGAACATATACACATTAGAGTTTTACTCAGCGGTAAAAAAAAAACAATGACATCTTGAATTTTGCATGCAAATGGATGGAAATAGAAAACGCTTTACTGAGTGAGGTAAGCCAGACCCAAAAAGAGAAACACAGTATGTATTCACTCATAAGTGGTTTCTAACCATAATTAAAGGTCTTTGAGCCTATTATTCGTGATCCTAGAGAAGCTAAGTAAGAAGATGAACCTGATGAAGATTATTTAGCTATCCGCCAGGAGGTAGGAAATATACAAGAGTCTGAGGTAACCTCGGGTGCATGGGGGGGGGAGGTTGTTGAAAGGGGAGAGGGTTAGAGAGAAGGGAGCAGGGGAGGAATGGGGAAAGATCGGGGGACTGGGATGGGGGGAGGGAGGAAGGATGGATATGGGATCAGGCAAGTATATACCTCAACTAAGGGAATCATTTTAGGGTTTACAAGAGGCTTGATTATAAAGGGGATCCCAGGTCCAAGGAGAGATCCCCAGATGGTTCTCTGGACAGAGGAGAGGGTGCCTGAACCGGCCTTGGCCCATAACCATACTGATGAATATTTTGCATGTCACCATAGAACCCTCATCTGGCGATGGATGGAGATGGAGGCGGAGACCCACGTTGGAACACTGGACCTAGCTCCCTAGGTCCAAATGAGAGGCAGAAGGAAAGAGAACGTGAGCAAAGAAGGCAAGGGCAGAGGAAACCTTCATCCGACGTTGGATGGCGATACAGACGGAGACCGAAATTGGAACACCGAACTGAGCACTCCATGGTCCAAATGAGGAGCAGAAGGATGAAGAAAATAAAAAAAGTAATCAGGACTGCGAGGGATGCGAGCACCCACTGATACAAGGGGACTGATATAATGAGAGTTCACCAAGGCCTGTTGGACTGGGACTGAACGAGGACGTGATTCAACCAGATTCTCTGAATGTGGCTGGCCAGGAGCCTTTCTGAAAAGCCATTGACAATGACATTGGGACTTGCTTTCTCTGCACATACTGGATTTTGGTGCTCCAGTCTGTTTGGACTCTCACCTTCCCTGTACCTGGAGGGAGGGGGGAGGAACTTGAACTTCCCACAGGGCAGGAAACCCTGACTGCTCTAGTGGATGGAGAGGGAGGAGGAGAGGGAGTGTGGGGAGTGGGAGGGTGTTGGGAGGAGGGGCTGAAATGGAAACTTTTATAATTTAATAAAAAAAAAGAAATACGTTAACGTTAATATCAGCAAGGAGCATCCTTTGAGCAACCTCAGCATCAGGGACTATTTATGAAATAAAGTAAAGAGGAGAGAGTAAGAGAATTCCTGTAGAAATTTCACATTATGGTGTACAATAAACTTAAAGGACTCTGTAGCTTTTGGCAGCAGATATGTCACAAAAATGTATATGTGTAATAACACAAATTTTATTTAATATACGGAGAATCTTGATTTTCTACTGGAACTATTACAGAGTTTAAGAAGAATATGTTTTTTTTTGGAAAAATTAGTTGTGGCTGCACCAGAATGATGCCTCACAAACATTTGTCTGTCCAGCTCAAGGGGGGCGGGGACAATGAACTCTCCTGACCTTGGGGGCAACAGGAATTCACACTTACATACATGCTGACCCAATACTCAGAAATATAAAAACATAAATAAATCATTCTATTAAAATGAGAAAAATTATAACTTTTTTAAAATGTGGTGGCACACAGACTGCATGTCTTTCAGCATATTGATTATTCTATTATCAGAACTGATTTGCACCAAAGGAGTAATTGTGGGATAGACATTCATCACAAACTTCTGAACACTCAGGGTGACTGGGTCGTACTTCCATAACAGGACTGCGGAGGATGAGATGATGAAGTCCACCCAGTACATGACCACAAGAAAACCACCAGCAGCAAAATGGTCTGGGTGGCCCTTTTCTCAGGGCATGTTCTCAGGTGGCTGAGGCTGTGAAGATGCTTGCATTGCCTCTGATGTCGGAACAAGATGATCACCATGTATGCACTTGTGACCAGCATAACTCCTACAAGAAATGTATCTCTGGAGGTTCCCACTGTTAAAATCAGTGCCCTGATGATGTAGTTCATGGAGAAGAGTGAGCAGAATTTAGTGACCTTCATCTGGTTGGTCTCATTCATGTTGGTAAAAGCACCAGCATAGAAGATCCAGTTGCTACTGAATAACAAGTTGAAAGACCAAATAAATAAGAAAGCACAAATTATGTACTTTTTTAGTTTATATTTAAATTTTGCCAAAAAAGAAGTACTAGGACTGATAGTGACAGCCTGGAACACACTCAGGAGGCAGGTGATACAAATGGAGAGGCCTCTCATCACTCTGTTTATGTAAAAAGTTGTCTTACATTTGAAATCATTATCAATGTTCAGTGACTCAAATATGTTCCAAAGCCAAATATCCCCTCCAGTGATGATCAGCAGTGTGTGAATGAAGGCCAATTGACATGAGATCATGTCCGTGGACTTAGGTCTGTGACCTAGGATTATGAAAGTGTAGAAAAAAAGGAGAAACATATTGACCAGAACTCCCAGTCCAGCTTGGAAATTGAGAACATTCTTTGAGGACATAAGTGGAAAGTGTATTGATCTTAGGAGCATGATATGAAAAAATGTAATTTATGTACTGGAAATGCTGAAGCATGCATAGGCAGCCCACACATGGTAGTTCTGTTGACCTTGTCCATATTGGGTTTCATAGTCTAAATTGATGATGATGACTGACCAGGTCTCATACTCAAGTGGGCACCAGATCCCAATACAGATGGTTGTGGATACATATTTCATATATCTGAAAAAATTATATATTATTAACCAAAGTTGTAATTCACTGGTCATTATGTATATCATTATTCTGTTTTACCTATTTATTCTTGATTAACCCATCTCTTTAATTGAAGTTCCACATCAGACTTGGCCTATGTTTCTATATACTCTCAATATATCTCCTGGATAAACAGCATTCTCAGCCACCTCCGACACAGAATGCACATTTCATGTGCCTGTATTGCACCTAGACCTCATGCCTTAGAAATTGAATCCTACTGATTTGATTTACTTTGCCTCATTTTACAGTTAACACTGGAAACAGCAGTGATGAGAGTAGAGCAACATAATCATATTTGTACAACTGATTAAAAATTATGTTGTTCTGAGGAGAAATCACAAAAGAAATCCAAAAGAGTAAGGTGAATCAGTCTCATATTTTATAATTTTAAGAAGCTCCATTTTACAACTATCCATGTTTTCACTCACAATTCTGATGGAATCAAAGTTGATAATTCATGATAATCCCACTATTTAGTCAGTAGGATGTCTATCTCAATTCATCTATTTTTATTTTCCTTTTTCAGTGAACTCACCACCCCAGAATCTGGGATTAAGACAATGATACATTGTCAATGGCTTTTTAGAAAGACTCTGGGACTTGTTTCCTCTGCATATTCTGGATTTTTGGGGATCCAGTCTGATTGGATACTCACCTTCCTCGTCCTGGAGGGAGCAAGGAGGAACTTGAACTACCCACAGGGCAGGAAACCCTGACTGCTCTTAGGGATGGAGAGGGAAGAGGAGAGGGAGTGGGGGGAGTGGGAGGGTGTTGGGAGGAGGGGCAAAAATGGAAACTTTTATATTTTAATAAACTATAAAAAAAGACAATGATACAGTTGGAAGGCATTAGTGCACTTTCACACCGTATTAATTTCATAACCATTATTGTTATAAACATTCCTAGATGTCTCCCAGTTTTCTTCCCATCCATTTAGAACCTATGTAAACTCTACTTATGGTTTAAAGAACTAACTCCCAACTATCAAGACAAATGCTATTTTTATTTTTTACATCGGGTCAGTAAGGTGGATAAATCATTAATAGTATGATTCCTTTGGGGTTTTCTTCCATTCTTTGTTACTTTACCTACCTATTGAATGGTCTGTATTTATATCCTCCTCTTTGACTAAGAAAACCCCATTTTCCCTATCAGATCAATGGTCTCCTGCTACTCCTTTGTGCCTTCCTCCCACATTCTTCTATATATTCTTTCCTTCTCCCTGATAAGGAGCCCACCCTTTCCCATTTCCCTGATAAGATCACTTGTACCCTGTTATTCTTCTCTCCATTGCTACCCACAATCAACCCCATCTTGGCCATGGTCCCATTATGCTTTCCTGATATCTGTAGTTTACACAGGCTAAATACATCTGAAGATGTGGAGCCAGGAGCCCCCAACAATAAAGAGCATGTGACTCTAAGACAAACACCATTTTGAACACATTTTGACAAACATGAATTTGCCAAAGATGATCACATTGTGATCCTGTTTTAGAATCTCTGTTTTAATAGATTCTTTCCTATGCAGTGGAAATCAAGGGCCCCAGTGTCATCATATGTCACCAACACACAGACAATTTTTTTTTACTTTCAACAAATAGTCCTAGCTTGGGTACTGATGTTAGTTATTTAGTCTGGTTACCAGTATCTTTATTTTAGAAAATTAGTATAATTCATTACTTTAAATTCAACTCTGTGATAGGGAAATAGAAAACTATACCTACTAAGATTCTTGTGAGAAAGAGAGGCCAATTGTGTTCTCAAGATCACTTGTATATTCCACATACATAGCTGCATACATGTATGTATAGCAATATTGCAGAAGTCAGTATATGAGAGCACTCTATCACATCCCCATGAATACGACAACATAAATCATACATTTTACATATATACATTATGTTTGCTCTTAAAACTTGACCTAGTAAAGGAGTAGATTCAGACCATTTGCCAGAGCCAAACATGAATCTCCCACCAACAAACATTTATAGGAGCTGCACACTGGCATTTTATTCTTTAAAAAAATTCCTAAATGCAAGTTGGAGAGATGGCACAGTGGTTCAGAGCATGTTTTCTCTTGAATACGATACGGGCTGGGTTCCCAGCAATGGCATGGTGTCTCATAACCATCTATAACTCTAGTTGTAGGGAACCTTTTTTTCTCTCTGATATTGTAAGCAAGTGGTATACAGATATACATGCATATAAAATACATATGTATATAAAATAAAATAAATAAATATTAAAGAAAGATAGATAGACAGACAGACAGACACATAGATAATGAAAGAATGAAAATATGTTATCAGATTTATTAGGGATAATAATTAATTCAAGCCTTGGTCTCTAAACTGACAGAACTGCAGCACATTCCAATTTTAAAACTGCAAATGGGCAAACACTATATGTATAAACATTTTTATTCATTATAGATCTATAATTTGTTAGTATGGAATTGAAATATAAATAAAATAAAAAGATGATAATAGAAGTTAAAGATAGTGATTGATTTTTTTTTCTTATCCCAAAGCTATGGACTTCAACCTCTCCACTTCGAATTCATTGCTTAGTAAATATTTGTCACCTACAGAAAATGACACTTCTTATCATTCCTTATGTGGTGTCTTTCCCTGGTGTGTACTGGAGGTGAGACTGGACCAGAAAAACCATAACTATCATAGCTACAGAGTTGTCAACACACACAGAAACTAGGAAAAGTCATTCACTTTATTTGAAAAAATGCAGTGCTTGGAATTTCATATTAGTTTATGTTGTAGTACTTAGTTGTAAGGACTAAACCCAAAGTGTATCCATAAGCATTCATAATAGTAACAGTTCCATCACTCTTAATGAGATCCAGACCAAAGGCTGAGCAGGCAGCTGTCTGAAGAAACGTGCAACAAAAGAAACAAAGAGCTGTTCCCTGCATAACTCTACAATCTTCTGAGAAAATCACTTTCCCTCTTCATTATCACAGTATTTAATTTTAGAAAAGACTTGTGAATTTATTAGAACATTTTCATTCTTCTCTGAGGAGATAATAATATAATGAACAAAAAATATTAGATCAAAAATATCATTTTCATTTTAAGTTTTACCATATTTAGTGAGTAATGACCTATTTGCAGTGTGACTGTTCAGAGAGAACATGGAGTGATTGTGTGACATTCAGGGGACAAGATATGTGGTGTTGGCTGATGTGCTGTCCACTGTCAGCAGCATTAACAAGTCTTCGGAACTCTCAGGAAGATGAAGACCTTAGCCACTCAAATCAATTCCATGTGGACATTTTTATGAAATAGATATGCCAGAAGGAATAAATAGTGATTACTAATTTAAGGTATTAATTCATAGCACATGCCTCATCTCTTAAACAATTTTAAAGTATAAGTTACTCTGTAGAAATTGAACTTAGCTCACCTGCAACTGGAAGCACACAGACGCTCACTAGAACTTTACAGCCTCACACTTTCCAGCCAGTTCCCCTGCGATGAAATAGCAGCAGCAGTGTCACTGCAGAGCCTGTGGGGAAGCAGTCAGACCCAGAGCTCCATCACAGGTCACATGGTGTAAGTCTGGGAAAGACATGAAAGTGTTCACTGGAAGTGTGTGTGTGTGTGTGTGTGTGTGTGTGTGTGTGTGTGTGTGTGTCTGTGTGTGTGTGTCTGTGTGTGTGTTTGTTTACTACCTGGACTAAAAATAGATCAATAGCATACTGTGTGCTGGGGCTGCTATCATGTATCATGATTACATGTACAGCACTTAAGTGAAAAACTGAGGGTTATATCAAATATGTTTCTAAAATAAAATGAACTTTAAGGGAAATGAAGAGAGCATCTCTGTTTTCTGGGTGACAATAAAATCCACAAGGGCCTGCCAGGTGCATCAGTGAAGATTCTTAAGGTGAATTATACAAAATAAACTTAATATTTTGTAAGACTTGCAAACATAAATTCATACTTCCATCATTTGGTTTTTTGTGGCTTGGAAGCACTGCATCTAGTGACTAAATGACACTTATTGGCATCATTTTATTTCATTTTAAAAACAATGCTTTTATAATTCTATATTATCTATTTACCAATATAATTTTGTTGTATTCGTGTGTGACAAAGGTGGAGACAGAAAGAGGGGCTCCACCTATACTGACTTCAATAAAACTCAGGAAACTCCCGTCTTAGCCTTCAGAGTACTGGGTTCATAGGTGTTACCACCACGCCTGACTTCACTTTCCATTTGAGTCTCCTGTATTTATTAGTAAATGATATTCCAACAACATTAACATGGACTTAAGACATTCATCAGCTAAATTTAAATTTACTTGGCGCATTTTGAGTATGCATATTTTAATGAACAATTGTATTTTGCAAATATTTGAGGAAACCTTGGGAATTTTACTTTAAATAATTTGATACTATTCAAGAACTGAAAATATTTCTCATGGCTAATCAAAACTTAATATTTTATCAGTAGCAGTATAACAATGTTGAACTTAAAAAACTTAAAATATTGAAAATCAATTCATTTTAATTAAAACACTCAAACTCCTACTGAAAATTACTCACTTTACATTTTTGTAATGATAATGAAGCAGGGAGGGCCTTGGACTTACCACAGGGCAGGGTTCCCTGCCTTCTCTCAAGCAGGGAGGGGGAGGAAGGTGGGGGAGTGGGGAAGCAGGAGGGGAATAGGAGGAGGGGAGTAAGTGTAAATTTTTGAATGGAAAATTTTAAAAAATACTTAAAAAAGATAATGTTATAAGAATTTAATGAAGAAATGAAGAAAGCCTTATAGATACTTTGAGATACTTTAAAAAGAGCTACTTCATTAGAAATTATTACAATAGAATAAAAGAAATCTATGAAAAATGTTTGAAGTTATTTATATGATGTTAAGTGCATCTTACATTTTACTAAGTCATGAAGTGAAACTCTCCTAAGAATTTCCAAGTATATGCAAACTTAACAGAATAGATACTGGTAAAACTAAATTAGTTAATATTTGCTGCGTATTCATGGTGAAGTTTCATATAAGTTGATACATAGTTTTAAGAAAAGTAGAAAAATGAGAAAATATAAAATATAACTTAAATGTATCCTAATATTATAAATGTACTTCTGCAAACCAGTGAATGTGTGTTTTTTGTTTCACCCTCTAAGTCATTTCTGGTGTTTTGTGAGAGGGTTGGAAATTTAACACAACTGCCATTAACTACAAGAAACCATATTTATAGAATTATGAGAGTACACCCTCAGGAAAATCCATAGATAGATATGCTCATTAAAATACTCCATTTGGGGTCACTTTTTACAGAGATATGAATGTACATTTACTGTAAAAAAAGACATAGATTTCATTATTTTTTCATTCAATACATAATATCTATTAATCAGCTTCACCCTATTATCCTTCCCTGTCTCTCTATCCACACTTCTACTAGGGCCTGTCGCCTTTCTAATAGGCCACCTTCTACCGTCACATACATTACAATCAGAGGTCACAGCGAGGAAAATCTATACTTTTACAAATCATTACAATGATATTTTTGTCTACATACATCTTTTGTGTTTGCTGTTGATATAATTAGGCCCAAAATAAAACTAAACAGAGAATTCTCTAATCATTTTATTACAGAAAACTCTGCTTCCTTCTACCACTTACAGCTCTCACTATTACTGAAGAGAAAAAGAAACACTCACCTGGCCGGTCCTTTGATAAGCACCCATTTGGAATGAGGCCCTAAGAAGTAGTTATAAGGAAGGAATGTCATCAGCTCATCTCTCTCTAGACCCACAATTATCATGTCACCTGGAAAGAGGGAAGTTCTGAACTTGAGGTTGTTAGAAAGTGGTACCATTAACTGGAAGAGTGAACTTCTCTAATTCTAGGACATCAGTAGAGAAGGAACAGCTGAGCTCTGGCTTTCCCAAGTGTGAGCTAATCTCCCAGGCCATATCTTTCGGTGTGGATTAGTTCATCCAGGTCCTTCTGGAGAAAACTAAAGTAAAAATATAACCACATTCATAAGAAGTAGAAAAACATTTTGATTCCTCAAGGAATCCTTCCTGCTTCTAAAACTTTCCTGATTGATCGCCTCCAAACTACGTGACAGTCGCTTCATGACCTCGCCTAGAAATCAAAGCACTTTTGCTAAAATTAAGAAAATGTCACCACTCTAAACACTCTGTAAGAAAATCAATTTTTCTTATGGGGGCACAGGCATGAGGTGATGTAATTAGCCCATAGTGAGCTGTGGCCTGGGGATGTAACTCTGCTGATAGAGTGCCTGCCTAAACATTGTTGTTTATGGGGACACCATGGAGAAATCAAACCTTCAAATTTTATGCACAGGTGAGGGAGAAAAAGCCTAAGTCAATGCCAAACACAAGACCTTCAAAAAGATCATAGAAGAAAACTGTCCTAAACTAAGGAAAGCCTCACTCATACACATACAAGAAGCACATAGAACACATTAAAGATAAGACCAGAAAAGAAAATTTCCATGACATCTCATATTTAAAACTCTGAGGAAACAAAACAAAAAAAAGGTGCATTTAAAGTTGCAAGAGAAAAAGTACAAATCACAAGTAAAGAAAACATATTAAAGAACAACTGATTTCTCAAGGAAAACTTTCAAAGCCAGAAAAACCTGGAATAATACAACCCAAGACCTAAATGACAGCTGATCTAAAATAATACGCCCAGCAGAACTGCCATGATTAAAGGAGAAGAAACAATTTTGTACACCTTGACAGCCTAAAAAACTTTATAATCAATAAACCAAACCTAAGGTAATACAGGAAGGTTTATTTTGGGGTAAAGAGAGGAATAAGCAAAGCAGAGAAACTAAAATAAAAATGAGTCATAATTATTAAAATATAAAGACCACTGAGAACACAACAAAAATTAACAACATGATAGCCAGAACTAACACACACATTTCAGTAACAATTTCAGCATGAATGACTCAATTCTCCACTCAAAAGACAGAGTTACTGAACAGATCAAGAAACAAAATGTATCTATCTATTTCCTACAAGAAACAGATTTTAGTTATGAAGACAGGCACCACCTTGGAGTAAAGGGATAACTACAAGAGCGAGTTCCAGCTCAGGAACCAAAGCTACAGAGAAACCCTGTCTTGAAAAAACAAAAAAGAAAAAAAAAGATAGACAAAAATACTTCCAATCAAATAGATCCAGGAAGACATCTGACATAAAAGACTTGAAACTCAAACTGATGAAGAGAAATAAATAGGGAAACTGCATTCTGATCAAGGGAGCAGTTAACCAAGAAGACTTTACTGCTCTTCAGAGGGGGTAAGGTTTCCCATGGGGGGTTAACAAAGTCTAGCTTTGGGTCAGGGCCAAAGCCCTTCCCCACTATATCTAGGCTGAGCAAGGTATCCCTCCAAAGAGAATGTATTTCAAAAAAAAAGTAGAAGCAGTCTGGACAAATGCTGATCTCACTACCAGTGGTCCCACAGTGTGCCCCAGCTATGCAGCTGTCACCCACATTCAGATGGCCTTATTTGGCCTATGTTGGTTCCCTCACTTTCAGACTGGAGATAGTGGGATACTATTACCTCAGGCACGCTGATTCAGTGGGTATCTCCATCACGGTCATGATCTCTTTGCTTACATTCTCATTCCTCTCACTCTTCGGCTGGACTTTGGAAGTTCAGTCCAGTGCTCCGCTGTAAATCTCTGAATTAGAAGGAGATAATCTGATGAATAAATATGACCTTTCAAAGTTAAATTAAGGTTAAATATGCAAGCTAAACAGACCAATAATATCAAAGGATTAGATGCAGTAATATGAGTCTCCCAACCAAAGAATTTTTTCAAAAAATGAAAAACCCAGGGCAATACAGTTTTAGGACAAGATTTTCTGTGACTTCCCAAAGGGAGTTAAGCCCATGTCTTGGCCTGTGTTCTGTTATATGAAGAGACACCACGAACCTGGAAACTCCTATAAAGGGAAACCTTTAATGGGGGCTTGCTTACAATTCAGAAAATTAGTCCATTATCATCATGGTGGGGAGCATGATGCCATGGAGACATGGTTCTGGAGAAGGCACTGAGAGCTCAGCACCCAGATTCACAGGCAGCAGGAATGGAGAGAGCCACTGAGTCTGTCTTGGGCTTTTGAAACCTCAAAACACACCCTCGGGGAGAAACACATTCCTCCAAACACCTAGCCACACTTAGTCAATCAAATAGTATCACTCCCTAAGCATTGAAATTTATGAGCCTCTGAGAGCCATGCTTATTGAAACCACCACCCCACAATATTCCTCAAATTATTCACCAAATTCGAAAATGAAAGAATACTGCCCAATTCTTTTAATGAGTTCCAATTTACTTGATACATAAACTACATAAAGACCCAATAAAGAAAGAAGATTCAGATAAATTTCTATTAGGAACACAGATGCAAAAGTTTATCAATAAAATACCTGCAAACCCAAACCAAGAAAACATCAGACACATCATCCACCCTGATTAAGTAAACTTCAACATAGAGAAGCAGGGAAGATTCAATATACATAAATTGATGATGATGATGATGATAATAATAATAATAATAATAATAATAATACATGGTGTAAACAGACTGAGAGCCAAAATACCATATAATCATCTCATCAGATGAAGAAAGGTCCCTTGACAAAAATCCAAAATCACTTCAGGAAAGAAGTCTTGGAAATATTGGGGATACAAGGTACCTAACTCAACATAATAAAGGTAATTTATCCCAAGCTCATAGCAATATCAACTTAAATGGAGAGAAACTTAAAGCAATTCAACTAAAATCAGAAAGAAGACAAGGATATCTGCTCTCCATACCTATTAAATATAGGACTTGAAGTCTTAGAGTTTCTATTGCTGTGATGAGACACTATAACCATGGCAACTTTTATAAGGGAAAATATTTAACTGGTTTGGCTTGCTTACATCTTTAGATGTACAGTCCATTTTCAGCACGGTGGGGAGCAATATGGCAGCAGGCAGGCAGACATGGTGCTGGAGAAATAGCTGAGAACCCTACATCTTGCAGGCAACTGAAAGTTGACTGAGTGTCACACTGAGTGAAGCTTGAGCAAAAGAGACCTCAAAGTTCACAGTGACACACTTCCTTCAACACCTACACCCCAAATCCACACCTCCTGAAAGTCCCACTCCCCTTGGGATTATGGGGCCCTGAGAACATTCAAGCTACCACAAAGTGTTTATGGAGCAGTAAAATAACTGAAGGAGATTGAGGAGACACAGATAGGAAAGAAGCCAAAGCATCTTCATTTGTAGATGCTAAGGGAGTGTGATGCTATTCTTAGTTTTCAACTTTTCTACTTCTGGAATTACCAAACCCCAAAATGGCTAGAGAAACCTGCGTATGGTTTTTTGTTTGTTTGTTTTTGTTTCTTTGTAATTACATTGTTAGAAGTAGAAAACCCACTTCTACTCTGAATATTTGAGGTAGGAAGATACAACTTTAATCTGGACCACACCTTAGCTGGCAGTATATTTGAAGGACATGGAAAAGGGAGGATTGTTCTATCTTTGCTTGGTTCCCTTGTTGTTTCGAGAAAGATCAATGTTACACTGGTATTTGAGCCTGTTTCTTCAGGAATTCAACATGTAGCAAAGAACAGCTGAGACATGCAGTCTTGTGAATTGAACAGATACTGGATTTTTGCACTTTCCTATGGTAGACACAATCATTGGATTAGCTGGGCCACAACCTGTAAGCCATTCTAGTAAATATGCTTTCTATATAGATGTGGAATCATTATATATGCTCTGTTACTCTAGAGAACCCTGACTAATACAGATTACATTACATGATTCGACGTCAGTAGTTCTCAACCCTCCTAATGTTGTGACCCTTTAATATAGTTCATGGTGTGGTCACCCTCTCAACCATAAAATTATTTTTGTTGCTACTTCATAACTGTAATTTTGCTACTTTTAGGAATCATAAACATCTGATATTTATTTTTTTAATTTTCTTCTTTTTATTTATTTATTAAAAATGTCTACCTCCTCCTCTCCTCCCATTTCCCTCCCACTCCTCCCACATCCCCTCCCCCTCCTTCTCCAGTCTTAAGAGAGGGAAGGGTTCCCTGCCCTGTGGGAAGTCTCCATCCAGGTCTAGGAAGGTGAGCTTCTAAACAGACTAGGCTCCCACAATGCTAGTCCATGCAGTAGAATCAAAACACAGAGCCATTGTCTTTGGCTTCTCACTCAGCCCTCATTGTCAGCCACATTCAGAGAATCCGATTTGATCAAATGCTCATTTAGTCACAGTCCAGCTGGCCCTGGTGAGCTCCCATTATCAGTCCCACCATCTCCATGGGTTGACATACCCCTCGCGGTACTGACTTCCTTGCTCATGTTCTCCCTCCTTCTGCTCTTCATTTGGACCTTGGGAGCTCAGTTAAGTGCTCCAAAGTGGGTCTCTCTCAATCTCCATCCAAGGCCAGATGAAGGTTCTATGGTGATATGCAAGATATTCATCAGTGTGGCTATGGGATAAGGCCAGTTCAGGCACCCTTTCCTCTGCTGTCCAAGAAACAAGCTGGGGAAATCTTCTTGGACACCTGGGAACCCCTCAAGAGCCAAGTCTATTGCCAACCCTAAAATGGCTCCCTTAATTAAGTTATCTACTTCCCTGCTCCAATATCCACCCTTCCTCCATCTCAACCATCCCCCAAAAGCTCTCCCTAATCCTCCCCTTCTCCCTTCTCTCTCCCCATCTCCCTCCATCCCACCTCCACCCCCATGCTCCTAACTTTTGCCTGGCAATCTTGTCTACTTCCAATATCCAGGAGGACAACTATATGTTTTTCTTTGGGTTGACCTTCTTATTTAGCTTCTCTAGGATCACAAATTATAGACTCAATGTCATTTATTTATGGCTAGAATCCACTTATGAGTGAGTACATATCATATTCATCTTTTTAGGTCTGGGTTATCTCACTCAGTAAAGTGTTTTCTCTTTCCATTTGCATGCAAAATTCAAGATGTCATTGATTTTTACCGCTGAGTAAAACTCTAAAGTATATATGTGCCACACCTTCTTTATTCATTCTTATATGGAGGGGCACCTAGATTGTTTCCAGGTTCTGGCTATTACAAATAGCGCTGCTATGGACATAGTTGAACAAATGCTTTTGTAGTATGATAGGGCATCTCTTGGGTATATTCCCAAGAGTGGAATTGCTGGATCCTGAGGTAGGTTGACTCCCAGTTTCCTGAGAAACCACTACACTGATTTCCAAAGTGGTTGTACAAGTTTGCATTTCCACCAACAATGGATGAGTGTTCCCCTTCCTCCACATCCTCTTCAGCATAGGCTATCTTTGGTGTTTTTGATTTTATCTATTCTGACAGGTGTAAGATGGTATCTCAAAGTTGTTTTGATTTGCATTCCCCTGATCTCTAAAGAGGTTGGCCATTTAAACTTCTTCTGTTGAGAATTCTCTGTTCAATTCAGTACCCCATTTTTAATTGGGTTAAATAGAGCTTTAATGACTAGTTTCTTGAGTTCTTTATATATTTTGGAGATCAGACATTTGTCTGATGAGGAGTTGGTGAAGCTCTTCTCCCATTCAGAAGGTTGCCTTTTTGTCTTAATTACAGTGTCCTTTGTTTTACAAAAGCTTCTCAGTTTCAGGAGGTCCCATTTATTCATTGTTATTCTTATTGTCTGTGCTACTGGGGTTCTATGTAAGAAGTGGCCTCCTGTGCCTATGTCTTGTAGACTACTTCCCATGTTCTCTTTTATCAAATTCAGTGTTGTCAGATTAATGTTGAGGTCTTTAATCCATTTGGACTTGAGTTTTCTGCATGGTGATACATATGGATCTATTTTCATTTTCTACAGGTTGACATACAGTTATGCCGTTTGTTAAAGATGCTTTCTTTCTTCCATTGTATAATTTTAGCTCCTTTGTTGAAAATCGGGTGTTCATAGGTTTGTGGGTTAATATCCAGGTATTCGATTAGATTTCATTGGTCAACATCTTTGTTTTTGTGCCAATACCAAGCTGTTTTCATTACTGTAGATCTGTAATAGAGTTTGAAGTCAGGGATGGTAATGCCTCCAGAAGTTCATTTATTGTATAGGATTGTTTTGGCTATCTGGGGTATTTTGTTTTTCCATATAAAGTTGATTATTGTTCTCTCAAGGTCTGTGAAGAATTTTGATGGGATTTTGATGGGGATTGCATTGAATCTATAGATTGCTTTTGGTAGAATTGCCATTTTTATTATGTTGATCATCCCAATCCAAGAGCATGTGAGATCCTTCCATTTTCTGGTATCCTCTTCAATTTCTTTCTTCAAAGACTTAAAGTTCTTGTCAAATAGATCTTTCACCTCTTTGTTTAGAGTTACCCCAGATACGTTATGCTATTTGTGGCTATAGTGAAAGGTGATGTTTCACTGATTTCACTCTCTGCTTCTTTGTTCTTTGGGTATAGGTGGTCAACTGATTTTTTGGAGTTTATCTTCTATTCTGCCACATTACTGAAGGCGTTTATCAGCGGTAGGAGTTCTTTGGTAGAGTTTTTGGGGTCGCTTATGTACACTATCATATCATCTGCAAATAACAAAAGTTTGACTTCTTCCTTTTCAATTTGAATCCCCTTGATCTTCTTATGTTATCTTATAACTTTTGCTGGAACTTCAAGCATTATCTTGAACAGGTATGGAGAGAGTGGACAGCCTAGTTTTGTTCCTGATTTTAGTGGAATGGCTTTGAATTTATCTCCATTTAATTTCATGTTAGCTGTCAGCTTGCTGTATATTGTTTTTATTATATTTAGAAATGAACCTTGTATCCCTAATTTCTGCAAGACCTTTATTATAAAGGGATGTTAAATTTTGTCAAATGCTTTTTCAGCATCTAATGAAATGATAATGTGATTTTTTTTCCTTCAGCTTATTTATATGATATATTACATTGATAGATTTTTCGTATGTTGAAGCAGCCAGGCCTCTCTGGGATGAAGCCTACTTGATCATATTGTATAGTTACTTGGATGTGTTTTTGGTTTCTGTTTACCAGTATTTTATTGAGAATTATTGCATCGATGTTCATGAGTAAGATTGGTCTGTAATTCTCTTTCTTGGTTAAGTCTTTGTGCGGTTTTGGTATCAGGGTAAGTGTAGCTTCATAAAAGAAGTGTGGCAATGACTCTTCTCTTTCTATTTTGTGAAACACATTAAGGAGTATAGTTATTAGCTCTTCTTGGAAGTTATGATAGAATTCTGCATTGAAACCATTTGGTCCTGGGCTTTTGTTAGTAGGGAGGTTTCTGATGACAGCTTCTAATTCCTCGAGACTTACAGGTCTATTTAAATTGTTTACCTGGTCTTGATTTAATTGTAGCATATGGTATTTATCTAAAAAATGCCCATTTCTTTTACATTTTCCAATTTTGTAACATACAGGCTTTTGTAGTAAGATCTAATGATTCTCTGAATTTCCTTTATGTCTGTGGTTATGTCTCCCTTTTCATTTCTGATCTTGTTAATTTGTGTGTTTTCTCTCTACCATTTGATTAGTTTGGATAGAGGTTTGTCAATCTTGTTGATTTTCTCCAAGAACAAGCATTTTGTTTATTGATTCTTTGGATTGTTTTCTTTGTTTCTATTTTGTTGATTTCAGCCCTCAGTTTGATTATTTCCAGTCTTCTACTCCTTCTGGGTGAATCTGCTTCTTTTTTATCTAGAGCTTTTAAGTGTGCTGTTAGGTCTCTAATGTGAGCTTTCTCCATATTCTTTATGTGGCACTTAGTGCTATGAACTTTCCTCTTAGCACTACTTTCATAGTGTCCCATAGGTTTGGGTGTGTTGCGTCTTTATTTTCATTGAATTCAAGGAAGACTTTAATTTTTTCTTTATTTCTTCCTTGACCCAGAGGTGTTTCAGTAGTTGACTCTTCAGTTTCCATGAGTTTGTAGGCTTTCTGGGGTTAGAATTGTTGTTGAATTCTAACTTTATTCCATGGTGATCTGATAGTAAACAGGTGGTTACTAAATCTCTTTACATCTATGGATGTTTGCTTTGTTACCAATTATGAGATCAATTTTTGAGAAGGTTCCATGAGATGCTGAGAAGGAGGTATATTCTTTTCTGTTTGGGTGGAATGTTCTACAGATGTCTGTTAAGACCATCTTGTTCATTACAACTGTTTGTTCTCTTATTTCTTTATTCAGTTTCTGTCTGGCTGACCTGTCTATTGGTGAGAGAGGAGTGTTGAAATCTCCCACTCTTAGAGTGTGAGGTTTGATGTATGCTTTGAGTTCTAGTAATTTTTTTTTACATATGTGGGTGCTTTTATATTAGGGGCATAGATATTTGGGATTGAGACTTCCTCCTGTTAAATTGTTCCTGTTATGAGTATAAAGTGTTCATCTCCATCTCTTCTGATTGATTTTAGTTTGAAATCAATTTTGTTAGATAGTAGTATAGCCACACCCACTTGTTTCTTTGGTTCATTTGATTGGAAAATCTCTTCCCAACCCTTTACTCTGAGGTAATGTCTGTCTTTGAGT